GGTCTCCTTTGGGTAGACCAGCTGCCCGGTTGGCTTTGCCCACTTGTGTGTGTGTGTGTGTGCCCCTGTGTGGTGGCTGTCTCTGTGGCTAGGGTGACAGAGATCTGTGTGTGTCTGGACTGGCCCTCTGAGTAGAGGTGGGGGTGGGGGGAAAGGTGACGATGTGTACCCACATTCCTTCAGCGCCCCCCCCCCGCCCCCTGTCTGGCCACCCTGGGTCGTGTTTACTCTGCCCCCAGCCTATGTCTACCTTGTCCTGGGAGGGACTGACCCTCTCGTCTGTCCAGCCAGAAGTCCACAGGATGTTCCCCAGACATTGCCCGCCTCTGACATCTCCTCCCTCCCTCCCTCGGGCCACCCGCGGGTCAGGACCCAGGCGTCCAGGCCAGCAGAGGTGGGTGGGGCTGCAGCGTGTGTATGTGTGTGTGTGTGTGCGTGCGCACACGCGCGAGTGTCCTTGCACACGCGCGGGCGTGGGGGGGGTCCCTGTCAGGGCACCGGAATGAAGGCTTGGGGGGGCGGGGAGGCGACGGGCTCAACAGGTTCAGTCTCATTCCTGCCCCACCTCTCACTTCCTGGGTGCCCGCCCGGGGCAGGGTGCGGGGGGGTGGTGGTGGTGCGGAGGATGGTGGTGGTGTGGACAGGATGAACCCCACGGCCTCAGAGTGCCTGGGTGGGGCTGCCACTGGGCACCGGGGACACCCAGGCCTCAGAGCTGGGAGGAGTCTCCTGCCCCCTAGACTCTGATGCAGAGTGGTCCATCATTATTCACTCCCTGAACAATCCCATTAACTGGACAACTGGACGGAATTATGCCCCCAAAGATAGGACTGGAACCGTGGCTTCGGATGCAAACCAAGACCCCCCCAGCAGCAAATCCGGCACCTCTCTCTCTCTCTCTCTCTCAGTGGTACACGTGGGGTGGGAGGAAGAGCCCAGGTCCCCATGAGGCCTGGCTCAAGGGGGCGCCTGCTTGCTCTGAGTCAAAATGGGTCCCTGGGTGAAATGAATAAGAAAACGGCTTTAACCGTTTCATCGCCACGATCGGCTGTCCCAAAACTTCCTGTGGGCTGGGCTGGGTTCCAGGAGGCCTCGGTGGTAGGGGGGGGGCGCTCTGCAAATTCAGAGCGGGGTGGGTAGGGGAAGCGCCTCCAGCGACCTTGGCCGCCGGACCGGCTGGAGTATGGGGGGGGGGGTCCTCGAGTCGGCAGCCCCCTCCCCAGGGCCGTGAGTCACACACGGGGAAAGCCGCGAGGAGTGAGTCACGGGGCGGCGGAGGAGGAGCGAGGCCGGCTGCGGCCAGGGGACCCCCGGGATGGCCTGAGTCACACAAGCCCCGGCCTCGCTGACCCCAGCCCCCTATTCCAGAGATCGGGAGAGCTGGAAGCGCACGGGCCGGGCCCCCGTGGACTGCGGAGTTGGAGGCAGGAGGGGGCAGGAAGCAAGGGCCGAGCTGCGCGGGAAGCGCTGGTTGCTATGGCAACGGGGGGGTTGGTCTCAGTTCCACAGGGGGTTCCTCCCCCCCACAGCGGGGACTGCCCCCCGCGCGTTGGGGAAGCACCCGCGCGCGCTCGGTCGAGGGGCCGCGAGTTTCAGGTCGGGCAGGAAGGGGTTAACGGCGGCCCCCTTCCCGGGTTTCACCCGCTTCCCCCAAGTCTCGGGCGGGGCGGGGAGAGGGGGGGCCATGCCCAGTGCGCCCCCCCAGCCCCGCTCGCGCGCGTGCCCACCCGTACCCGGCCGGCCACCCCCGCACGCGCACGCGCGCATGCACGCACGCACGCACGCAACCAGCCCATCTCCTCCCCCGCCCCCGCTCGGAGGCCCGCGCTCACACGCACGACCGCGTCGGGCTCCACGCACGCAGCGACCCCCGTCGTGTCTCACGTCACGCACGACGCACGCGCCCCCGCAGCGCGGGGAGGGGCCGTTCCCGGCGGAGAGCGGGCGGAGAGGCCGGGCCGGGCCGGGAACTCCGAGGATCGCCTGTGCTGAGCAGGGTGTCTTGGCGGGCCTTGGACACTGCGCACTGCACCCCTCCCCCGCCCACGCCCACGCCCACGCCCGCACTCACACCCAAGGGCACAAACGCTGAGCGACCCTCTGTGTCACAGGCCACAGGATGCACCTGCCACACGTTGGCACAAACCCTGGGTAGTCCAGCCAGCCACGCAGCCAGCGTGGACAGGGTCACACCCGGACATAGACAGAGGCACAGATGGTCACGTAGGCACACGGGTCACGTGCCACTTGTGATAGGGACACGCACGCAGCCACACTTTAGCCACAACATCACCAGGTGGACATATGAAAGTGTCAGAAGCTGCTGCCTCTCCCTTCTCTCCCTCGGGGACTGTGAGACACCCCGTAGGGTCACGCGAGGGTCGGTGAGCACAGGCCGGTCAGAGTAGGTACGGTCACAGAAGGAATGCCACTCGAAGCTGCACACAGGGGGCTCTGAGCTTGTCCCAGGGAGGTGCACAAACTGGGGACACATGACAGAGTCCCAGTTCTTCCCTGCAATCCCCAGGAAGACAAAGGGGGCCATGGGCCCAGACACACAGCCTAAAGCCACGTTGTGATGGTCACACTCCCTACTGGTGGACAGAAGGTCAGCGATGGAGACCCCAGTGGGGGCTCCATCTGGAGGAGACGTGGCCACAGCCTAGGGTTAACTGAAACCCCTGGCTGTTACTCTCAGACCTGTTACTCTCAGTCTCCCACCTGCCAGTGCCTCTGTTTGCACTAAACTCACACACACACACACACACACACAGCCTGTTGCACAAACCCCAGGGCCCCAAGACATAGGGCACACATGCCCGTGCACACATGATCCCAGATCCACCCACACCTCCACAAACACAAGCACACTTCCCATGGGAGTGTGTGTGTGTGCACACACACACACACACACACCCAGGAGCAGGGCAGGAGACCAGAGCCCCTGGGAGCATCTTGGATGCAGTCAGCTTGCTAGGGTCCACCCTGTGGTTGTGAACATTCAGGAGGGGGAGGGGAAGGGGTGCTGCCCTCCAGCTGTGGGACCCAGGGTCTCCATCCCCCACCGCCGATGTGGCTGGGTCCCTGCCCAGATGTGAAGGCCGGAGGGGGCCGGCCGGGGTCCAGCTGTGGCCGCAGGGAGGGGCTGAGTCACCCGCTTCCCAGCAGTACAACCCAGGCTGGGCCCAGCTGTTCCTGGAAACAGGCGGGAGGGGGTGGGGTGGGGTCCCCAAACCAGCTGGGGGGCTGCTGGCCCAGACCTGCAGGCTGGCTGGCGCGGTGTTCTCTGTCCCTACAAACGGCTGAGCCCGGGGACCGGGGTGGGAGGGCTCCCTCCCTCCCACCTCCAACAGGGGTTTGTGTCTTTCCAGAGGGTGCGTGCCCCACTTGCTGAACCGAGGGTGCTTGGGAGGGGTCCCCCGAAGGTGGGATTCTTTGCTGACCCAAATGGCAGGCTGTGGCTCCTTCCCCAAACTGCAGGCCTGCGGCTCCCTAAGCATTTGGGGAGGGACCACCCATAACATCACACCAACCTTGGGACAATTTAAGGCCATTTCTCAAATATTTGGATCCCTAGCTTTCTCCTAACATCCTGGTCACCCCCCTGCCGCCCCACCCACCAATATTTGACACTGTCCAACCCCATCCCTGGCTCCTTCCTGGCTCACCTCCCACTGCTACCCAGGGCACGGTGGTCTTGCTTCTCTGCACCCCCCCATCCTGCCCCATTCCAGGACCCTCTCCCCTGGTATGGGTGCAGGATGGTGGGGGGTGGGGGAGGCACCGGCTGCTGTTCCCACGCCCGCCCTCCGGAAGACAGTCCAGGCCGGAAGCCGGTGCTACTGGCCTTGTCCCCTCCCCCCCACTACCCCGCCACCTCCCCACCCGCTCCCAAGGGCTGGACTTTGGAAAAACAACACGCGAGGAGGTTGTGGGGGTGTGGAGCAGCCTCCGGGCCCCCGCCCTCCCCCCCAGGCCGTACGGCTGAGCGCCCGAGTAGGCTGGGCCCGGCTGTCTGGGTGCTGAGTGACTGTGTCTGTGCCAAGTGGGCGTGGACAGCCGGGAGTGGGGGTGGGGGAGGGGACGCTGCTGGTCACCCTGCCCACTCCACTCCGCTCCGGGTGGACAGCGCGCGTCCCTCTCCTCCCTGCGGTCACAGCTAATAACCTCTAATTACTGCACCAGACTCCGCCTGCCCGCCCGCCCGCCCGCGGGGGAGGGAAGGGCTGCCCGGGGACCCTAGGGTCAGAGGCCACTGGCCAGGAGGGACTTGGAGGGCCCCTGTCCTCAAGGCCGCTTCCACCGTGGAGTCCGTGTATTATGTAAGAGGTGATCAGGGCAGGGGCCGCCTACGGCAAGCGCCCCAGGCTTGGAACTGGATGGTGCACCCCGACTGTGGTCGCTTTCCTTCGATCCCCGCCCCCCGCCCCGACAGCCGCCTCTGCCTGCGCCGCCCCAGCGGGATCTGGGGGGTGGGCGCGCCCGCTCCCTGTCGCGGGCCCTGTCCCCGCGACCTGCGCGCCCCCTGGTGGGCTGCAAGCGCCGCGCGGCCTCGGCCGGGTCCCGGGTTCCCTCAAGGGGAGGCCGGAGTCAGGCGGGGAAATGTTTGTGTCCACCCTCCTAGGACGTGCGTGCGGCTGACCCTTCCTGCCGGAGGACCCCCCGTGTCCCCAGGATCCCTCCTTGAAGTCCATAGAATGTTCTAGCTCACCCCTCCCCCCGGACGGATCAAGGTGGTTGAGATCTCTGATCATAAAGGGATGAGACAAGAAATGTCAGCCGCAGGAGAGCACGCGAATGCGCCTGTACCAGAGGAAGACGCGTCACCCCCCAAAATGAGGGGAGTCACCCTCAGCAACACGCAACCGTGGGCCAGACTGACCCCTAGCGGCGAAGGGCGAGAGGCTGCTCGCTGCCCGAATCCAAGATGGCGGGGCTGGAGACAAGAGCGGGCGTCGGGAAGCGATCACGTGTGAGGGGGCGGGGCCTGCGCCGAGGGGGCGGGGCTGGGCGGCGCTCTAGGCCGAGCGGGAGGTCGGGGCTGCGGGCGCTCGCTGGTGGCGGACCCGGAGGCGGCTGCGGCGCGGGGGCTCGTTGGCCTGGGTCGAATCCGATCGGGAGCCATGAGCGTGGACAAAGCCGAGCTATGCGGGCCTCTGCTCACCTGGGTAGGTCGGGGGGCGGGGCTGGGGACAGGTGTGCGCCCACTCCTCTCGCCTGGGACCCCTCTGGCCCTTAACTTGGCCAGCGCCTCCGGCCTGGGGCTGGAAGGAGGAAGGGGATTGGCGGCCGGTGGGCCGTTGGACTCTGGCCTGAGCACCCGCCCCCATCACGTGGCAGAAAGAACAGGTGAGGCCCCGCCCCCCGTGGCTGGCTCACGTGGGCTGAGGGCACAGGTGAGTTGCCTGGTCACGTGGTGCCTGTGAGGCCCAGGTGATTCCGTGGTGCCGCCCTGGCCTGACGCGCCGGCTTCACTGAGCAGAGGTGAGGTGAGACCACGCCCCCTTTGGGCTCAGGTGCTTCGGAGCTGATCTGTGAAGCAACAGGCCAGCTTCCCCCGAGTCGCGTGAGGTTCCTGCTGGCTGAAAAAGTGCAAAACGGGAGGGGGGGACCTCCCCCCCCCCAGGGTCCCGACTCTGTTCCCATTCGCCTTTCGTTTTCCTGGCCAGTTACAGACATTCCAAGTTCCAACCCCCTGTGCGAGCCCCCAGGATCTGAGCAGTGGCCTGGCTATAGCGCACGTGTTACATCAGATGTGAGTTGGGTTGAGGCGGGAGCCCCTACCCTCGGCCAGAAGGGTCCCCCAGCCAGCTCATCCCACCTGCTTGTCCCCTCTCCTCCACCCCCAGAGACCCCGCCTGGTTCAACGAGGCATGGCTCCGGGATATCTTAGAGGACCCAGATCCCAACTGGAGGCTGAAGGTGACGACAGGTGCACTCATTACTAGGGGAACAGCCCGAGAAGGGTTAGGTTGACACTGGTGGACAGACAGACAGACAAATGTCTGGGGCTCAAGGAACCATTGCTCTTGGCCTCGTTCTGACGATGTGGAAACAAAATCGAGCTGCACGTGCAAACGTACAAGAATCAACTCCCGATAGGAGGCAGCTGGACCGATTGCCATGTGTGATTGGGAGGATCAGCATTCTGATATGCAAAGCCCCCGGGCTGGGGGAAATTAGCCGTGGGGTCACAAGAGAGATCTAAAGGGACAAGACTTGCGGGACGTGAGGTCATAGGGGCCTTGGCAGTGTGTGTGTGTGTGTGTGTGGATTCTATTTTAAGTAAGGTGGAAAGTCACAGAAGGGTTAGCGCCCAGGGAAGATTTCCATTCTCCAAGGCTCCCTCTGGCTGCCTGGGAGGGGAATGGTGTTTGAATACAGGCAGGAAGAGGACCCGGGATCCGGGGCCAAGAGGTGGCAAATGGGCAGGTGCTGAGAAGTGGTTGGACTGCCACAAAGATGATCAGATGGTAAAAAAAAAAAAAAAAAAAAAAATCAGCCCGCTAGCAGCCAGACAGGGGAGGCGGGAGGCAGGGGTCGCTCCAAGGGGAGGAGACATTGGAAGGAAGAATGACTCTAAACAGAACAAAATGCGCAGGTCTGAGCAAGGAGGTGGAGTGGACAGACTTGGGGTGGGGGGGCGCGCCCCGTGGACCCCTTTGTACACAGCTGCTTGCCTGTCCGTCCCCAGATCAGCAACTTGAAGAGCATCTTAGAGAGCGTGGTGGAATACTCCCAAGATGTAAGCAGCTCGGGGGTGTGGTGGGGAGATGGGGGTGGGGCCAGGAGCCCTGGCACCCCCTCCTCGCCTCGTCCTCAGGTGCTGGGGCATCCCGTGTCAGAGCAGCACCTTCCCAACGTGAACCTCATTGGAGAGTTCTCTGATCCCGCCGAACTCGGCAGACTGCTCCAACTGGTGCTGGGCTGTGCCATCAGTTGCGAGAAAAAGCAGGGTATGTGTGTGTGTGTGTGGAGGGGATTCAGGAGGTCCCCAGGGTAGTCCCCAGAGGAAGTCCTTATTCCTCCCCCTGCCTGCCCCCGGCCCCTCCCTCCCATCTTGACCCCTCCCCCTCCAGAGCATATCCAGAGAATCATGACCCTGGAGGAATCCGTTCAGCATGTGGTGATGGAAGCCATCCAAGAGGTGGGTGAGGGTGCCCCCGCGTGGTGGCGGTCGCGCAGCGGCCGGGGAGGCACTGCCCCCTGGTGAGGGCTGGGGCTCTGCCCGGAAGTCCGCTGGCCAGACTCCTCCAATCTAGCCGGCTCCACAGATTTCACCACTGTCTGAGCTGCAGGCTGGAGGGCAGCCCCTAGGGTTCTCAGACAGAAGTGCCCTTGGGCGGGCTTTGAGTCACAGCGGGTTCTAAGCCGCTGCCTGGGGCATCTGCATTCCATATCACAATGGCAGTTCAAGTCCCGGCTCCTCTGCTAATGTGCCTGGGAAAGCATCGGAAGATGGCCCAAGTCCTTGGGGTCCCTGCCACCCACGTGGGAGACCCGGATGGAGCTCCAGGCTCCTGGCTTCAGCCTGGCCCAGCCCTAGCTGTTGTGAGCATTTGGGAGAGGGAACCGGCAGGTGGAAGATCTCTCTCTCTCTTCTGCCTTTCAAGTAAATAAATAAGTAATCTCTTAAAAAAAAAAAAAGTGACCGGCCGGCACCGTGGCTCAATAGGCTAATTCTCCACCTGCAGTGCCGACACACCGGGTTCTAGTCCCGGTTGGGGCACCAGATTCTGTCCCAGTTGCTCCTCTTCCAGGCCAGCTCTCTGCTGTGGCCTGGGAGTGCAGTGGAGGATGGCCCAGGTTCTTGGGCTCTGCACCCGCATGGGAGACCAGGAGAAGCACCTGGCTCCTGCCATTGGATCAGCGCGGTGTGCCGGCTGCAGCGCGCTGGCCGCAGCAGCCATTGAGGGGGTGAACCAACGGAAAGAGGAAGACCTTTCTCTCTGTCTTTCTCTCTCTCACTGTCCATTCTGCCTGTCAAAAAAAAAAAAAAAAAGTGACCTTGAAGGCAGGAGAGTGGAAAGGTTCTCTCGCTGGGTCATAGAAGCCCTGAAACCTATCCAAAGAGACCCCAGCTCATTACACTGCTTTTTCTCTATGCCCCTCCCCCCAGCTCATGACCAGAGACACGCCCGACTCTCTGTCCCCAGAGACCTACGGCAACTTCGATACCCAGGTGAGGGGTGGGAGGCAATCTTGTGAGAGGTCCCAAGGTCATGACTACCACCTCCACCCTATTCTAGACCGTTCCACTGCCAAGACCCCCAAAGCGCCCACATCAGTGCTGGGAGGACCCCTTGGGGGGTCCTGGCTTTCTTTTAACATCCAGAGGAGTCCCTCTCTTCCCCCGCCTCCCCACCTAGTCCCGCAGGTACTACTTTCTGAGCGAGGAGGCTGAGGAAGGAGATGAAATACGGCAGCACTGTCTGGACCTGGAACGACAGGTGGGGCTGGGCTAGTGGGTGCCGGAGGGGCTACAGGTGCACCTGGGGCGGGGGTCACCTCAACTCTTACGTATCTCGGTGCTCTGCCCGCAGCTGGTGCTCCTGTCGGAGGAGAAACAGAGTCTGGCGCAGGAGAACGCGGCGCTGCGGGAGCAGGCGGGCCGGCCAGCGGCGGGGGCGGCGGCAGTGGCGGGGGCGGCGGCAGCATCCGAGGGCGCTCCCCCGGGTCTCACCAACAAGAAGCTACTGTTGCTGCAGTCCCAGTTGGAGCAGCTCCAAGAGGAGAACTTCAGGTGTGGCTCGGTGGGGCTGGGGTCCACACCAGCCAGGCCATAGGCGGGGTGGCCAGGGCGGCTCCTTCATTCACGCCCCCCACTCCCACCCCAGGCTGGAGAGCAGTCGCGAAGACGATCGGCAGCGCTGCGCCGACCTGGAGCGGGAGGTGGCAGAGCTGCAGCAGCGGAACCAGGCGCTGACCAGCCTGGCCCAGGAGGCGCAGGCCCTAAAGGATGAGATGGATGAGCTGCGGTAAGGGGACCTGGTTACCCACTGTGTGACCCCCTCCCCCGCCCTGATTCCCAAGAAACTCCCAGAATGAGCTCCAGAGCCCACCATACCATCCTGGACCCCACGGTACCCTCCAGGCCCCTCCCCCCACCATCCTGAATCCCAGGATGTCTATGTCTATGGGTGTCTAGACCCCCCCCATACACAGTGTCCCTTGTCACTCCCATATGAGGCTTCCAGGACCCCCTAGCACCACCACCCCCAGCAAACACGGCAGCCCCTCCCCCCCGCAGTGTTCTGTGTCCCCATAAGCCCACTAAGGATCGAAGATTATACCCCAGGCTGATCATGGCTGTCATGCACCCCCTCCACGCCCCCAAACCAACCAGAGCTAACTCCACCCCCTGCCCTGAGGACCCCACTTCCCAGGGCCCGACCCCTGGCTGCTCCTGTTCCCCAGCCCTCCCTCTTTCTCTCTCTCTCCCCACCCCGTCCTCCCCCTCCCTCCTCCAGGCAGTCCTCCGAGCGAGCTGGGCAGTTGGAGGCCACGCTGAACAGCTGCCGGCGCCGCCTGGGGGAGCTGCGGGAGCTGCGGCGCCAGGTGCGGCAGCTGGAAGAATGCAACGCGGGCCATGCAGAGCGCACGCGGCAGCTGGAGGATGAGCTGCGCCGGGCCGGCTCGCTGCGCGCCCAGCTTGAGGCCCAGAGAAGACAGGTGCAGCTGGCTGATGGAGTCTGGGGCAGGGATGCCTGGGGTCTGGGTGGGCGGAGCTGGGTGCCCTGAGCCCCTCCCCCATTTTCAAGTGTGATGTCTATGAGTCATGCCCCTTAGGTCCACTTCTCCCTCCCTGGTTTGAGTCTAGAAGCCCCTCCCTCCCCTCCCCTTAAAGCCCTGCCCCTCCATGTCCTTGGCCCCGCCCCTTCACCCAGTACACGCCCTCCCTCCGCCCCCGCCCGGTTCAGGTGCAGGAGCTGCAGGCCCAGCGGCAGGAGGAGTCCATGAAGGCAGAGAAGTGGGTATTCGAGTACCGCAACCTGGAGGAAAAGTACGAGTCAGTGACGAAGGAGAAGGAGGTGAGGCTGGGGTCCTGCGGCCCGAGCCCCGCCCATCCCAGGACAGCCCCTCCCTTTCCTGGCCTCACCTGGCTCCCCCATCTCCGCAGCGGCTGCTGGCGGAGCGAGACTCCCTGCGGGAAGCCAACGAGGAGCTGCGTTGCGCCCAGCTGCAGCCGCGGGGGTTGCAGACCCAGGCTGGTGAGCTGGGGGACCCAGTACAGGAGCGTTGCGGTCTAGGGGTGGAAGGGGGGGGAGGGGAAGCTGAACTTGAACCCCTAAAGAGGACCTGCCCCCTGCCCCCCGCCATGAGATCCCAGGCGGCGAGCTGAGGACTTTCCTTGCATCCCCCAGACCCTTCCCTGGACCCCACGCCGCCAGCCCTGGAAAACTTAGCAGCTGAGATTCTACCTGCGGAGCTCAGGTATCCTGGGGTGGGGGTGGGCGCGTGACTCAGAATCTGGCCTGCTCACCTCCCACCAGCCTTGTGGTTTTTTGGTTTTGCTTCCAAAGTCCTAGCTGGGGCCCTTAGTCCCTTCCCCACGTGCCCCCGCCACCCCCACCCTATACACTTGGATTTCTGCCCCAAGGTCCAGGCCCAGCCTCAGTAATAGCCCCAAATGCCCCACTCAGAGTAATTCTCCTACCCCGGCCTCTTCCTTCCCTTACCTGCCTGCACCCAGCCGTCGCCCTGCCGGGCAGCCCCACAATCCTACTCACTCCTGCCTCTCGCCCGGGCAGGGAGACCCTCGTGCGCCTGCAGCTAGAGAATAAGCGGTTGTGCCAGCAGGAGGCGGCCGACCGCGAGCGGCAGGAGGAGCTGCAGCGCCACCTAGAGGAGGCCAACCGCGCGCGCCACGCGCTGGAGACCCAGCAGCGGTGAGAGCCCGGCCCTGCGGGGTGGGGGGTGGGGGTGGGGGGGTGGGGGAGTCCCCACGTGGTGCATGGAGGGTCTGGGGGCGCTCGCAGGCTCTCAGCCGCCTCCACGCCCGCAGACTGAGCCAGCAGCAGGTGTCGGAGCTGCGGGGCCAGGTGGAGGATCTGCAGAGGGCCCTACAGGAACAGGGCGGGAAGACGGAGGATGTGAGCGCCCGCCTCCTCCCTGCCCAACCCTCCCTTGCGTGCCCCGCCCACCTACCCTCCCAAGTAACCCTTCTTTCTCTGCTTTCCGCTGCGCTTGTCTGGTGCAGGCCATTGTGAGTATACCGGGCTAGGGAGGCACCTGGCGCTCACTCCAGGGAGGGGCTCAGCTCTGGGGTCCCTACCCTTCCCTCTTCCCCCGTGCCCCAACTCACCTCCTAAACTTTCTCTTCTAGTCCACCTTGTTGAAGAGGAAGTTAGAGGAACACTTGTAAGTCACGGAGCAGAGAGCGCTCCTGCGGGGGATGGGGTGCTAGGACGGAGAGGTGGGAGATGGGATTGGGGAGGGGTCCCTTGAGGAGCTGCTGAAGGAGGAGGGAGGACACCAAGATACAGACCGAGGGCACGGTTTTGGCAGGGTCTCCTAGGCCAAGGCAATGGGTGTGGACTGTGTGTTGGGAACAGCAGGCAGCCATAGAGCGGTTGTCGGCTAGGTCCTTTGCTTGTTTTTCTCTATTTGAAAGGCAGAGAGAGAGACAGACAGGGAGAGAGATCTTCCACCTGCTGGTTCACTCCCCCAAGTGCCTGAAATAGCCAGCACTGGGCCAGGCCAAAGCCAGGAGCCAGGGGGCCAGCGTTGGGACGCAGTGGGTTAAGCCTGCGTATGTGTCCCCGGCTGCTCCACTTCTGATCCAGGTTCCTGCTGATGTGCCTGGGAAGGCAATGAGTGCTCAGGCCCCTGCCACTCACATGGGAGACCCGTGGAGTTCCTGGCTCCTAGGTTTGGCCCAGCCCTGGATTGTTAGGGGGCATTTGGGAAGTGAACAAATGGATGGAATTCTCTCTTTCTGTTGCTCTGCTTTCAAATAAACAATTTATAAAAAAGAAAAAGAAAAGAAAGAAACCCAGGAGCCAGGAATTCAATCCTGGTCTCCCACGCACATGGAAGGGACCCAGGGCTTGGAGCCTGCCGCCTCTCATGGTGTGCACCTGTTGGATTGGATGTGGAGGAGCTGGAATTGGAACCAGACACTGTGTGTGATATGGTGATGTGGACGTCCCAAATGGTGGTTTAACCTCTGTGCCACACACCATCCCCTCAATTAAAAAATTTTAATCAACACAAGAATTATACCTACATGCCAGGGTACACCATGGTATTTCATCCCATGTATACCATGTGGAATAAGCAGATCAGAATAAGTGCCAGGCCGGCGCCGCAGCTCACTTGGCTAATCCTCTGCCTGCGGCACTGGCACCCTGGGCTCTAGTCCTGATTGGGGCGCCAGATTCTGTCCAGTCCAGTTCTCTGCTGTGGCCTGGGAAGGCAGTGGAAGATGGCCCAAGTGCTTGGGCCCTGCACCCACGTGGGAGACTAGGAGGAAGTACCTGGCTTCTGGCTTTGGATCAGTGCAGTGCACTGGCTGTAGCAGCCATTTGGGGGGTGAACCAACAGAAGGAAGACCTTTCTCTCTTGTCTCTCTCTCTCTCACTGTCTAACTCTGCCTGTCAAAAAAAAAAAAAAAAAAAAAAGTGCCATGTGCATCACCTTAAACAATCATCTTTTCAGGCCTGGCGCTGTGTTATAACAGGCTAAGCCGCCACCTGCAGTGCTGGCATCCCATATGGGTGCCGGTTCCAGTGCCGGCTGCTCCACTTCCAATCCAGCTCCCTGCTAATGCACCTACGAAAGCAGTGGAAGATGGGCCAAATACTTGGGTCCCTGCACCCATGTGGGAGACCAGGCTGGAGTTCCTGGCTCCTAGCTGCTGCTTGGTCAGCCCTGCCATTGCAGGCATTTGAGGAGTGAACCAGGGGTTGGAAGATTCTCTCTGCCTCTGTCCTTCCCTCTGTAACTCTGCCTTTAAGTAAATAAATACATCTTTACAAGGGAAAAAAAAAAACTTTGCAATTTCAAACGATACATCCAAATGTAACCTTGTCTGTACCTCCTTTTGTTTGTGGGCGGATCTATGACAAAAGTAGAATTGGTGGCTCAAGGAACATGCATTTAGAGTTTCAGTAGACACGGCCAAAGATTTTCTTTTCTTTTCTTTTTTTTTTTTAAGGTTCATTTTATTGAGGCTGGCATTATGGTGCAGTGGGTTAAGCTACCACCTGCAGTGTCAACATCCCTTGTGGTTGCCAGTTCGAGTCCTGGCTGCTCCTCTTCCAATCCAGCTCCCCACTAATGAGCCCGGGAAAGCAGTGGAAGATGGTCCAGGTGCTTGGGCCCCTGCACCCATGTGGGATACCCAGAAGAAGCTCCTGGCTCCTGGTTCTGGCCTGGCCCAGCCCAGCCATTGCAGCCAACTGGGGAGTGAACCAGCAGATGGAAGACCTCTCTTTTCCTCTCTCTCTCTCCCTCTCTGTAACTCTGCCTTTCAAACAAATAAATCTTTTTTTTTTAAGATTTATTTATTTACTTTAAAGTCAGAGCTACAGAGAGAGAGAAGGAGAAGCAGAGAGAGAGAGAGAGAGAGAGAGAGAGAGAGGTCTTCCATCTGCTGGTTCACTCCCCAGTTGGCTGCAATGGCTGGGCTGGGCCAGGCCGGAGCCAGGAGCCAGGAGCTTCTTCTGGGTCTCCCACGTGGGTGCAGGAGCCCAAGGGCTTGGACCATCTTCTGCTGCTTTCCCAGGCCACAGCAGAGAGATGGATCAGAAGTGGAACAGCTGGGACTTGAACTGGCACCCATATGGAATGCCGGCACTGCAGGTGGCGGCATTATCTGCTATGCTACAGCGCTGGCCCCATAAATCTTATTTATTTATTTATTTATTTATTTTGACAGGCAGAGTGGACAGTGAGAGAGAGAGACAGAGAGAAAGGTCTTCCTTTGCCATTCACCCTCCAATGGCTGCTGTGGCTGGCGCGCTGTGGCCAGCGCACCGCGCTGATCTGATGGCAGGAGCCAGGTACTTATCCTGGTCTCCCATGGGGTGCAGGGCCCAAGCACTTGGGCCATCCTCCACTGCACTCCCTGGCCACAGCAGAGAGCTGGCCTGGAAGAGGGGCAACCAGGACAGAATCCGGCGCCCCGACCGGACTACAACCGGTGTGCCGGCGCCGCAAGGCAGAGGATTAGCCTAATGAGCTGCGGCGCCGGCCAAATCTCTTCTTTTTAAAAAATATTTATTTTGAAAGGCAGAGTTAGTGAGAAAGAGAGGGATCGATCATCCATCAACTGGTTCACTCCCCACCTAGCTACAATAGCTTGGTCCAGCCCCAGAGCCCTGACCTCCATCTGGGTCTCCCACGTGGATGGCAGGGGTCCAAGCACTTGGGCCATCTTTCTGCTGCTTCCCCAGGTACATTAGCAGGGAGCTGGATCGGAAGTGGGGCAGCCGGGACTCGAACCTGTGCTCCTATGGGATGCTGTAGCAGCGCCTTAACTTGCTATGCCACAAGGCTGGCCCTTTTGTCCTAAGACTTTAGGGTTTCTAGAAAGATCTCTGTTTGCTGGGTGGAGAATGGATGAGGGGTTGAAAGCAGGAGAGGCTGGCTAGGGATGATGGTGGGTGGACAGGCTTTTGAAGGTGGGGGTAGGAGGAGGGCAGGGGTCTTGTGCAGGGCCGGGGGCCAGGGCACTCAGTCCCCTAGGGAAGAGGGGGCAGGCAGAGCGATCCCTGCGGCTGATCCCAGGGCTCAGCCTGCTCTGCCGTCCCCACGCACGCTCGTGCGCACACACGCAGGCAGAAGCTGCATGAGGCAGACCTGGAGCTGCAACGGAAGCGAGAGTACATCGAGGAACTGGAGCCACCGGCCGACAGCAGCAGTAAGCGGAGCCCCAGTGCGCGAGGGAGGGCGGGCAGAGCCCAGAGACAGGAGCCTGGCGTGTGGCTGACCGCCTCCCGCCCTGGTGCCCCCAGCAGCGCGGCGCATTGAGGAGCTACAGTATAGCCTGCAGAAAAAAGACGCCGACTTGCGGGCCATGGAGGAGCGGTACCGCCGCTACGTGGACAAGGCGCGCACGGTGCGGACGCTGTGGGGGTGGGGTGGGGGCAGGGGTGGAGTCTCCCGCAGAGGCCCCCATTTTCTGGGCCTCTTGCCCCCCACCCTGCACCTGCTGCTCCCCCCCACCTCCCGCGCACAGTTCTGTAAACTGCCCGCCCTCCCTACCATGGGAACAGGTGGTCAAATGTGAATGCACCCCAGAATGTCCAAGGGGTGGGGCGGGGCCAAGATCACCTGGCCTGTGACTCCGCCTCACCCATAGGTCATGCAGGCCCTGGAACCTAAGCAGAGGCCCCCTGCAGGGCCGCCCCCAGAGCTGCATGCCCTGAGGTCACAGCTCCGGGATCGGGACATCCGAATCCGGCACCTAGAGGTGGGTCTACCTGTCTCTCTTGGCACTCCCCCCCCACCCCCCAGCATGTAGAGCCCCTCATTGATTTCTCTGTGGGATGGCATCATGGCACAGATTAATTCACGGCCTGTGACACCGGCATCCCATAGGGGAGCTGGTTCGAGTCCCAACTGCTCCACTTCTGATCCAGCTCCCTGCTAATGCGCTTGGGAAAGCAGTGGAAGATGGCCCAAGTCCTTGGGCCCCTGCACCTGCATGGGAGATCTGGAAGAAGCTCCTGGCTCCTGGCTTTGACCTGGGTCAGCCCTGGCCATTGTGGCCATTTAGGGAGTGACCCAGCAATTGGAAGATCTCTCTCTTTCTCTCCCCTGTTCCTCCCTCTGTGACTCTGCCTTTCAAATAAGTAAATAAATCTTTAAAAAACTAAAAATAAATTTAAAAAATTATTTTTGAAAGATTTATTTATTTGAGAGGCAGAGTTACAGAGAGAGAGAGAGGGAGAGACTAGAAATAGGGGTCTTCCATCTTCTCTAAATGGCTGCCACAGCCAGGGCTCGGCCGACCAGAAGCCAGGAGCTTCTTCCAGGTCTCCCTCGTGAGTGCAGGGACCTAAGCACTTGGGCCATCTTCCACTGCTTTCCCAGGTGCATTAGCAGGGAGCTGGGTCAGAAGTGGAGCAGCCAGGACTTGAACTGGTGCCCAGATGGGGTGCTGGCATTGCAGGTAGCAACCTTATGTCACAATGCTGGCCCCAGATATAAAACGATTTTAAAGATTTATTTATTTGAAAGGTGGAGTTAGACACACACGCACACACACACACACACACACACTAAAGATGGAGATCTTCCATCCGCTTGTTTACTTCCCCCAAATGCCTGAGACAGCCAGGACTGGGGACCAGGCAGGAGCCAGGAGCTCCATCCGGGTCTCCCACGTGGGTGGCAGGGGTCCAGGCACTTGAGCTGTCACCTGCTGCTTCCCGGCCGCATTAGCTGGGAGCTGGATTGGAAGTGGAGCAGCCGGCACTGGGACCTGCACTCTGATACGGGCTGTGGGTATCCTGAATAGAGGCTTGACCCGCCGTGCCCGATGCCAGCCCCGTCTCCCCGCTAAGGTCCCTAACTCCTGTCTCCTTGGCAGGTGGACTATGAGAAGAGCCGAAACCAGCGAGAGCAGGAGGAGAAGCTGCTCATCAGCGCCTGGTATAACATGGTGAGCGTGACGTCACCGTGCGTGCGTGCCGCGGCTGGGAGCGCGGACGTCATCTGCCCTCAGCGACACCTCCTCCCTCCGTCCATCCAGGGCATGGCCTTGCAGCAGCGCGCCGGGGAGGAGCGGGCACCCGCCCACGCCCAGTCCTTCCTGGCCCAGCAGCGTCTGGCCACCAACGCCCGCCGCGGACCGCTGGGACGCCTGGGGTCGCTGAGCCTCCGCCCAGCCACCGACAAACACTGACACGCCTGGAGCCTCTGCCTGCTGCCCGGGCCAGCCAGGGCTCGGCCCGACCTGGGATTCCTCCGACTCCCACGGTGCCCAGCGCCGGGGCCCTGGCCAGCAGCTGCACCCATGTCCGTCCTTTGGTGTGGGAAAGGAGAGGTGGCCCGGGATGGCCCTGTTCTCTGAAGCCGTGTGGTTTTTATCTTTGATTTTTTCTCTTGGGCGGTAACGTGCTGTCTGGGGAGAACATGGTTTTCTATCTGAGAAAAAACAATAAAGACTTTGAACTGGCACCACGGTGAAGGGGAGAAGTCGGGCCGGGGACTCTTTGAGATCATAACAGTATCTTGACTTGCATTCTTACTCAAGTGTGAGTGATTGCTAGCCCCAGTGACAGGTGGGAATCGTGTGTGTGTGTGTGTGTGTGTGTTTAATTTGGTGAAGATTTATTTGGGGGGCCAGTGCCCTGGTTAGGCCGCCACCTGCAGGACTGGCATCCCACATGGGCTCCAGTTCAAGTCCCTGCTACTCCACTTCCTGTGGGGAGCTACTCGGACTAGACTGTTACTGGAATTAAGACTTATTCTATGCATCTGCTCTCCCACAATATGGCGCTGAGAAGGGAGTAACAACTTCTACGCAGCTGCCTCTCGCCAACTTGAGTGATGACCTGCAGGAGCTGATCCTGCTCCTGATTGGAGGAGAGCAGCGTACTCGGCGTGTGGGTAGCAGAGTTGGGATTGGTGGAAGAGGACTATAAAGGAGGAGAGAGACAACATGCACCAGGAACATCTATCTGAAGGAACACCTGTGCAGCCCCTGAGAGAGCCGGTCGGCGGTGTGCCGCTCCCCCGCGGAAGTGGGGAAAGTGGCAGGGGGAACTGCCCTTCCACGGAGGTGGAAGGGACGGTAGCCAACCCGGGAAGAACCAGCAGCAAACCCGGGAAGGGCCGAGCAGACAAAAGAACAGCGCAGGGTCCTGTGTTGCTCCTCCACGAAGAGGGGGAGCGACAACTTCCGATCCAGCTCTCTGCCATGGGAAAGCAGCGGAGGATGTTCCAAGTCCTTGGGCCCATGCACCTGCGTGGGAGACCCAGATGAAGCTCTTGCCTCCTGGCTTCAGCCTGACCCAGCTCCATCCACTGTGGTCATTTTGGGAGTGAACCAGTGGGTGGGAGCTGTCTCTCTTTGTCTCTCTGTCACTCCGCTTCTCAAAAAAAATCTTTGGGCCGGCGCCGCGGCTCACTAGGCTAATCCTCCGCCTTGCGGCGCCGGCACACCGGGTTCTAGTCCCGGTTGGGGCGCCGGATTCTGTCCTGGTTGCCCCTCTTCCAGGCCAGCTCTCTGCTGTGGCCAGGGAGTGCAGTGGAGGATGGCCCAGGTGCTTGGGCCCTGCACCCCATGGGAGACCAGGAAAAGCACCTGGCTCCTGGCTCCTGCCATCGGATCAGCGTGGTGCGCCGGCTGCAGCGCGCCGGCCGCGCCGGCCATTGGAGGGTGAACCAACGGCAAAGGAAGACCTTTCTCTCTGTCTCTCTCTCTCACTGTCCACTCTGCCTGTCAAAAAAAAATCTTTAAAAAGTTTCCTTAAAAACTTATTTTATTCATCTGAAAGTGACAACAGTGGAAGGGAGCTGACCTGACTCAGGTGTTCATCGGCGCCCTCTGGTGGCCCTTGTGGGAAGAACAGACCGGGTGGTGGTGGTTTGGGGGAGGCTGGAATCGGAAGACCAGGACCCAGCTCACGAAGCCAGTTGAGCAGGTGCGGTGGCGGAGAATGGATGCTCTCTCGGCCAGGGCGGGGTGAGAAACGGCTGGATTCAGAGGTGCTAGGATTTGCTGCTGGGTTGATGGTGCAGGGAGGTGAGAGGCGTCAGTGACGGCCCCTCAGCAGCTGGAAGACAAAGATGGCAGGGCATGGAGGGGGCATATTGGAGGAGGTGCTCTGTTCCCAGTGCCTCAGACCTACCTGCACGTGGGCGAGGCAGTTAGCAAGCCGGCAGGAGGGACTCCAGCAGTCACCAGCACATGATTAAATTAAGATTCCTCTGGAGGCTGGCACTGTGGCGTAGTGGGTAAAGCCACCATTTGCGGTGCTGGCATCCCATATGGGCACCGGTTTGAGTCCTGGCTGCTCCACTTCTGATTCAGCTCTCAGCTCTGGCCACTGTGGCCATTTGGGGAGTGAGCAATTGGATTCTCTCTCTAACTCTACCTTTCAAATAAATATGTTTTAAAAAATATTTTTCTCAAAAAAAGAAACACCCACAAGAATTCCCAAATTTATTTTTAAAAAAGATTTATTTATTTGAAAGGCAGAGTTACAGAGAGGCAGAGGCAGAGAGAGAAAGAGGGAGAGAGGTCTTCCATCCGCTGGTTCACTCCCCAAATAGACACAATGGCTAGAGCTGGGCCAATCGAAAGCCATGATCCAGGAGCTCCATCTGGTTCCCCCACGCGGGTGCAGGGGCCCAAGCAATTGGGCCATCTTCCACTGCTTTCCCAGGCCACAGCAGAGAGCTGGATGGGAATTAGGGCAGCCGGGACTCGAACTGGTGCCCATGTGGGATGCCGGCACTGCGGGTGGCAGCTTTACCCACTATGCCACAGCGCCAGCCCTGTCCAAATCTTACTTTCTTAACGCTTGGGGGAAGTCACGCTAAGCACGTGTGAGTAAACACCGCTAAGAGTTTATTGAGTCCCTATTATCTAAACTATGCGTCCAAGAAGTCATTTCAGCCTCCAGGAATCAGGCACATCTTCAAAGAAGAAGGCAGGACGCCCCCATCCCCTCGCGCCACGTGTGTGTTGGGGGGAGAGGTGCTGTCAGGCCGCAGGGGTTGGGGTGTTGAGCTGGAGACTGAACAAGGGCTGCTCCAGGCTTGGAGGAACCCGTGCCCTCAGCACATCGCCAGACCCACGCAGGAAGCAGCCTCACCCAAAGTGAGCAGGTGCACCTGGCGCAGGCACACAACGCTTAACTCAGACCTGGAGAGCCGCCTGCACGCAGTCTTTTTTTGGGGAAGGGGGATGGGGTCTGGGCCGCGAGGACCTCAGGCCAGAGTCTCCTCCTCTTCGCCAATAGGGCTGGGCAGCCAGGGCGGCGCCAGTCCCCGGGGCCCGGGGATGACCACGGAGGTGAAGGGCTCAGCGGCGGCGGTGATGGCAGTGGTGGCGCCCGGTCCGGCTATGGGAGCAGGGGGTTCGGGACCCGCGGGGAGCTCGGGTTCCGGCTCACGCAGGCCCGGGTCGAGCAGCGGGTCCTCGCAGCTGCACTCGGGGCCCGCGCCGTCGGGGGCGTTGGCGCACGCGCAGCTGGCGGCCGTGGACGCCTCCGACACGCAGCTGTTCTTGCGGCGCAGCAGGGACAGGCGCCGGCCCAGCAGGCCGCCTGCGGCCATGCCCGCGCCCGCCGGCAGGAGGCGCTGCAGGAAGTCGCCATGCACCTCGCCCAGCGGACCGTCCACGCCGTCCTGTCGCTGGATCAGCATGTCCTCCTTGGCCAGCCTGCGGGACCCGCAGCGGGGGAATAGGGGGGTCAGCGCCCCTCTCCTTGACCGACGGGGCGGGGCCTTCCCTGGCTCCGCCCATCCTCTTAAATCTCCCTTCCCCCTTTCTCCCACCAAGAGCCTGGCCTCATCCTTCCCAGGCCTGGACCCTGCCCCCTTCGCAGTCCCCAATAAACCCTTCAACGCGACTTGCCCCGCAGAGCCCTAAGCCCCGCCCCTCCGCCAGGTGGGCCCGCCCACCCCCGCGCCTGGCTCACGCGATGTCGAAGGTGGAGCCCTGGAAAGAGGGCTGTTGAAGGAGAAAAGCGGTGGCCGCCGTGTAGGGAGCGCGCGCCTCCGCCGAGTCCCAGTACAGGTCCTTCTCCAGCACCGCCAGGTCATCGTACATCTCGTCCACCGCCAGCATGGACACCTGCGAGGGGTGTGGGGGAGGCGGACACGCTGGGGCGGGGTGTGTGTGTGTGTGTGTGTGTGCGCGCGCGTGTCTGTCCACGCCTTCAGGGGTGAGTGACAGCGAGCAGGAGGGGTTGGGACGAGGCCCCACCCCGCCCCGCCCCTGCCTCGGGGTGGGAGTAGGGGGATCGGAGCCAAGGATCCATTTGGGAGCTGCGGTGTGGGGGGAGGGGAAGCAGGGACTCTTACCTGAAAGTTTCGGTCGATCAGAAAGTTTGTCTCAAAGTCATCATCGTCCTCCCCGAAAGGGTTGATGAGCTGCTCGGCGACCTGGGCGGTGTGGGGGGAAGGCAGGCAGGTGGAACCGAGAGCCCCCACCTGCCGCCTGCCTCTCCCGCCCACCAAGCCCTCCTCAGGTAGAGTCCAAGCCCCCACCTTGAGCCAGCCCGCGTAGAAGAAGAACTGCAGGAGAGTGAAGATGGGCACATACAGGTCCAGGTTGTGGTCTTTGTAGCCACGGGTTGGGTCCAAGAACTGCCGGCCCACGACACAAGCCAGGAAGTAGCTGTACACCGCGATGGTCACCACCTGGTGGCCGGAGGTGGGGACAGTGGAGGAGGGGCAGGAGTGGAGGTGGGTGGGTGGTGGTTGTTAGAGAAGCGGAGGGCCAGGATCGGGAGTCACCAGGATGGGTCACCGTGGGGCTTACCTGGGTGTAGACGAGGGGAACACTAATCCAGTCATAGTGGAAGAGCATCCCGCACTTGCCCCGAAATGCATTCAGTTCCTGGGAGGGTGCAGGTAGAGGTGAGTGGAGCTACAGGTGTGGGTAGCTGGCATGCGGGTTGCAGAGTGTGCAGGTTTGGTGGTGGGTGTCACACCTGGCATGCGGGTATATCCTGCAGTTCGGGGCTGCCCCCTACTCCCCCCCCAAACACACCCAGGGTGCTGGGAGACAGGTGTGCACCTGGGGGCTACCAGGTAAGGAGGTTTGGAATCTGTCTCACTGCAGGCCATGGTGACTTCCGTTTGCCCCAGGGGCTGTTCTAAGAGAAGGACGCCCCCCTCCCCGCGGCGGTCCCACCTCCAGGAGGAGCTTGAGAGCGCTGTTGTCCCGAATGCGACCCTCCCGCCGAGCCTGCGCGGCCAGGTTGGAGAACCACACGCAGGGGACCCAGTACTTGTTGTAGGACGAATTCAGGTTCTCGAATTTCTTGCGCTCCTCGCGGGTCATAAACCCTTGGTGGTGGGGGGGAAAGACGGGGGTTGAGGATAGGTGCGGGGTCAGAGGTCCCTCGCCCCGCCCTCCGGCCCTCGGGGTCCGCCCCTGCCCTGCCTCCCAGGAGGTGTGTGTTGGGGGGAGGGGTCCTCACCTGCCTCCACCACGTGGTCCATGGTGGGAAAGCGCTTGAAGACCGCGGTGCTGACGGAACGCAGGATCAGCACCGCTGAGAGCCCCGCGTAGCGCATGAGCGTGCGCCGGTAGAGGCGGCCCCGGTCATCTGGCCCCTGCACCGTGCCCACCACCACGCACATGAGCGCATCGGGCAGCGGCATGCACAGGTATTGGTTCCACCAGCGATGCACCACCAGCGTCACGTAGAAGCCTGCAGGGGTCAGGAGGGAGAGGGGAGGTGCTCAGCGTGGTGGTGGTGGTGGGGATGGGGGGAACACCAGGGCCAGGAGTTCTTGGCCAGAGCTGGACAATGTAGGATTTGCATCAGGGATGCCCAAAGCAGGATAGTTTTGATTATGGGGGTCCCCCTGGGCTGGGGATCTTTGGGGGTTCAACCCTGACGATGGAGAAGACCAGAGCACGCTGGGTCACCTTGGCTGTCACCTGGGTGGGGCAGGGTTCCCAGTGTGGAGGTGGAGGCACAGAGTCCATGTTAGTGGGGGACATGGGCCAGTTGTCACCCTGGGTCACCTGGCTGGGAGCAGGGAGACTGGAAACATGGTAGGGGGAGTGAGGGCTGGTTTTGTGGAGTTGCACCCCTGGGGACATCTGGGCAGGTTGTCACAGTTGCCACCCTGGACATCTGAGCTAGGGCTCTGGCATAGGGTCTGTATCAGGGATGCATTCTGGTGGTGGTGAGAGGGAGCCTGGGGTCACACGAGGTCACTTGACACCAGGGGCTAGGGACTTGTCAGAGAAATGTCCCCCACAAGGGTGGGCATTGGGGCACAGTGCTTGGGACACCCCCAAGCCCCCACATCGGAGCCCCAGTCCCCATTTCTCTGTTTCTCAGTCGACTCCCTGCTAAAAGCACCTGCTGGGGAGGCAGCAGGTGATAGCCCAAGTACATGGGTCCCTGCCACCCGCGTATGGTTCACCCCCCCTCTCTGCTTTTCAAATAAGTCTTTTTAAAATCCTCCAGGAAGGCGGAGTTTTATGGGGTCCCTGGGGTGGGGGTTCCCTGGATCCAGAAAATGGGGGAGCTGTAGGGTTTTGGGTTAGAAGGACAGGTCCCCGAGAGAGGCAGACTGATGAGGGGCTGGGGTGGGAGCGGGGTTGGAGGGGTGGGGCTCCAGGACACAACCGCACCCAGCACGAAGGAGACGGGGATGAGGCTGGCGTACTGGTCGCAGTAAATAACGAGCTTCTCGAAGTAGAGTTTCTGGTCTTCGGTCAGCAGAAAACTGCGAGGGAGGGGCGGCGGTCAGGGTCCAGACTTTCTTCCCCGCCCACGGCCCACCGCGCCCGGCCCGCACTCCCCCCACCTCACCGGTAGGCGGCGCTCAGCGCCATGTACAGCCCGAGGAAGCAGAGCAGCTCCCGCCACAGGAGTTTGTAGATGCTTCCCCGCCACAGCAGCAGGAGCTTCCAGAAGCCCCCGAAGCGGGCGTTGGCCACTCGGGCGGTGTAAGTCACGGTCATCGCGCACCAGGCTGGTGGGAGGGACGGGGCTGGACCCGGGCCTGAGGTGGGGGTGGGGGTGCTGAGAGAGGTTCGGGCGCCCACAGCTCCTGGTTGGCACCCACCCTTTCCTAGGGACCTGGCTGACCCCACCCTCACCCCTCCGCAAGCCTTGGCTTGCCCACCGCGCCGCCGTCCAGACATTTGGGTCCACGCGGTTAGCTCCTGAGTTGTCCCATCAGGCTCAGGGGCAGGGCTGGGGCAGCCTCTCCCGCACCGTACCGCGCCCTGAGCCTGGGGTGCCTCGGTTTTGTGGTTCTCATAGCTTCTGTTCCCCTACCTTATCCTCCACTCCTGTCCCCTGCTGTCGGCTTCTACAGCTCCCATTCCCCCAGACCCCTGGCACGCCCTCCGAAAAACCCTTCGAATCCGCACTGGCTCTTCCAGCAGGTGCACCTCCCGCTTAAGCGCCCTGGCTCTGCCCGCTTTCTCCTGCGGAGGCTTCCTCGCCCTCTCCCTCCTGCCTCCCTAAAGCCCTCCTCCACTCCCCACCGGGAGGAGGAGTCCCGCCTACAATCTCACCCACCGCCTCCACTTCCCCAGAGCCCCTGTCCCCCCGACCCCCAACTCTGGGCTCTTCTCACCTGTCAGCCGGATGGCGGGTGCAGGGACACGCGGGGACAGAGACCGAATGGGCAGGTGGCTTCAGCATTGGGTGGGGCCTTGGGACGCCAGAACTCCAGGCGGGAGAGGGCTGGGGAGTGGGCGTGGGCAGCCCCTCCCTGGCCCACCCCCTCCCCCGGGGCAGCGCTGGAGCCTCAGCACGCTGTGTTTGGAGAAGCCTGGCCGGTTTGTCACCTGGGGCAGGAGGAAAAATCTGTTTTTCATCGCTTCTCCCCAGCCCTCTCTCCCAGTCACTCACGGGCCATTCAAAGGAGCTGGGACCTAGAGCTGCAGGGGAGGGAGGGGCAGGGACCTTCTCCTGGTCCAGTCCTGCAGAGCTCAGTGAGGCTGGGTTAATCCACAGGACGGGTGCTTGGAGCCACACGCCTTGTCCGTCACCCAGATGCACACAGAAGCACCTGTCCGAGACCCATACACAAACCATCAGGCTTCCCTCTCACACCAGTGTTACAATCACACACAAAGCACACCTGGCAGTGAGACCCAAACCTGCAAGCATGCACACAGCATGCCGGGAGGGAAACAAGCAAGAAACTCCCCCCACCCTCCCACACCCACCGACATTCCCCTCAAGGTCAAACCACACTCAAGGTCACACACCCAGCTAAGCGCAGGTCCCACGGGACTTTGGTTCCCTTCTCCCCAGCATGAAGACACAGCCATGATCTCACACACCGGATGTAGCCACACCTCCCCTGTACACGGAGGCACGCAGCCTCCCCCCCTTTCCAGAGGGGGGTGTCGAAGATGGACCCCAGATTTACCTATTTTGCAACTCATTCTCACAGAACAGCACCTTCCTTTCTCGACAACTCCAGCAAGCACTGAGCCCTGGTAACGTTTTGCCCCCTGGTCCCCACTTGAACATGACCCTGGGGCACACCCACCTACTCCAACCCAAGCTCCCTGGCTGCAGCAGGCACACACACACACTTGAGTCTCAGATACCATTGCCGGGGACACATTACCTTGGGGACATAAATCCTTGTGCCTACGTTTGGCCTCAATACAGGACAGCCGTGCCCTTTTTTGCAAACATAGCTCTAGAAAGGGGGGGGTATCCCCAGCTCGGTACAAACAGCACCGCCCCCCCCAGCTCTGTTCTCCAACCTCAAGGACATCAGTGTGCAAATGGGTGCGGGAAGGGTGGAGGCCCATAGGGAGGGGCGCCTTGGGGTGTCCGTGGTGAGCCCCATGTGCCCACCCTGTGCGCTCCTTACACAGCCAGGGACTCGAGGACTTCGTGTTCCCAGACTGACAGCTGTCTGCCCCACCCCAGCATAATTACAAGCCAGCTTGGGCCGGTCACCCTCAGACCCGCACCTCCGCTGTCCAGCTGCTGGACAGCTCGTAAACTGGGGTATGGGGGACAGCTGGGGTGGCGCTGACGGCGGCTGCGGGGCCCCAGGGAGGAGCGGGGCTTGGTCCCCACCTGCTAGTAGGACATGTCCTTGGATGCTCTGGTGGGGGCAGCCCATCCCCCAGTCACCCTCCTCCCTGGGCTCGCACTGGTTCCCACCCACATTGAGAGCGTCCTGACCCCTGGTCCGGGAAAGGTTGCTGGGACCTGTGTTCTGGTGCCTGAGTTTAACAGCGAATGATAACAAACGGCTCCTTAGCAGGTGAGAGCAGGTGGTTGTAACATCACATTTCTCTTCCCTTGGAACTCTTTCGAAAAACAAATCTCTTCCGGGAAACTGAGCAGGATGCGGCTTGTTGTGTGGTTGGGATTTGATCAAACCCGGGCGGCGGCGTGGCTGGGAGCCTGGGGTCTCTGCCTCCCGGTGTTTGTCTTAGCTGCGCCACACCGCCCCAAGGTGTCCACACCCACAGCAGCACAGTCTGTGGGGTCCACCTCTGATGCGGGGTTCGGGAGGTACCTAGACCTGTGCTCTCGGTGCTCCCTGAACTCGGCTGAACCCTCTTCTACCCCCTTGCTGCCTCATCCCCCACCCTGGCTCTGGCTTGGAACCCGCAGATCATGCCCTGTCCCCAAGTCTCTCCTCTCTTGGTCAGTGGCAGAGGGAGGAGGGGAGGGCAGATGCCGAGAGGGGCCCATTAGGTGCCTTTGGGGCCACGGTGGCTCTGAGAGTGGCCATGCTTAGCGACAGAAGTTCAAAGGGCACGAGACTTCTGCTCCAGCCCACAGTGGCAGTTGGCCCTGGAGGCAGGACAGGACAGGGGAGTTTTCTGGCTTCCTCTCTCCTCTGTCCCCCCTAACCAGCCCCCTTGCTGCGGCCCTTATCCTGGGAGGGGCTGGTGTCCTCTTGGGCAGGCAGGAATTGGGGGGAAAGGGGTGGAGACAGTTAATCCCATCTGGCCCGCCCAGCCTCTGCCCAGGGTGCCCGCTAATTCCCAAATCAAACAGCAGGCAATGCTGGGCCCACTGCCGGCCTAATCCGCTCCCCACCAGCCTGGGGCTGGCCAAGGGGCCTCTTGATTCCCACGCTCCGAGCCCCCCCCCCCCCCCACCTCGGGGAAGTGGGCAGCTGCCCTTGTCTTCAATTCCAGGCTTCAGGATCCCAGCCAGGACACCTCCCCTTCTACAATCACTACCCAGCCACTCTCCTTCAAATGTGCAATGACGATAAACCAGCATCTCTGTTGGGTGTCTGTGGTGAATGTACCCATTTAGAACTAATGCTTTTGTGCAGTGCGCGACCTGTGCAACCCTACATGAAGGTGACGACTCCCCCCAAACTCCCTGTATCACCTAACACGGTGGGGGTGGGCATTTGGCACAGTTAATATCCCACATTAGAGTGCCCAGGGTTCCAGTCCCCATTCTGCTTCCGATGCAGCTCCCTGCTGATGCGCTCTCCGGGAGGCAGCAGGCGATGGCTCATGTCCTTGGGTCCCTGCCACCCACATGGGAGACCTGGATGGGCTTCCAAGGCTTCTGGCTTTCAGCCTGGCCCACTCCTGGCTGCTGTGGGCATTTGGGGGGAGTGAACCAGCATGGATGGAAGACCTCTTTCTATTGCTTTGCCTTTCAAATTGATTAAATAAATAGGGGCCTATGTGGTGGCGCAGTGGGTTAACGCCCTAGCCTGAAGTGCCGGCATCCCATATGGGCGCCAGTTCGAGACCTGGCTGCTTCACTTCCCATCCAGCTCTCTGCTAAGGCCTGAGAAAGCAGTAGAGGATGGCCCGGCTCCTTAGGCCCCTGCACCCACGTGGGAGTAAGAAGCTCCTGGCTCCAGATCAGCCGTTGCGGCCATCTGGGAAGTGAACTATCGGATGGAAGACTCCTCTCTGTGTAACTCTTTCAAATAAATAAATAATTCTTTAAAAAATAAATAAATAAAATAAAACTGACACCCACAGCAGTTTCGGATCATTTTATTGAGGGGCGGGAGGCGGGGAGGGGTGGGGGGCGAGTATAGCCCTCCAGCCCCACCAGGGGGCACAGGACCCCTCCCGGCCTCCCGCCCCCCCCAACACATCGCTCCCCCTGCGCTGTGGGGGAGGGGTGGGCTTTGTGCAAACTGCCCCGGCAGCGGGCGGTGTCAAAATGGCAGCAGCTAGGGCTGGCAGGGGTGGGAGGGGTCGGGGGTGCTACTGGGCACTGGGGGGCTTGTAGGGTTCCAGGAGCAGGGCGGAGAAGGTGTTGACCTTGTCGGCCCCCCGCACCTCGTGGGGTAGCAGCGGCAACTTCACGATGTGGAAGTCTTCGTACAGGTCCTCCATCTGCAAGCCGGGGCAGAGGTCAGAGGTCAGAGTGTGGGCCTCCTGGCGCGGCCCGGGCCGGGGTGGGGGCGGGGCCGGCGGGCGCACCTGGTCCAGGTACTTGGCCTGGATCTTGTGGCGGGCCTCGCACATTTTGCAGGGCTTCTCCGGGTCGGGGAAGACGAGTTGGTTGACGATGATGTTGTGCGTGTCGATCTTGCACTTGGCCAGCTCCTGGATCAACCGCTCCGTCTCGTACAGGGACAGGAACTCGGCGATGCACACGCAGATGAAGGTGGTCTGCTCCTGCTCGCCGGGGTGGGGGTGGGGGTGGGGGGCACCAGAGGATGACAGTAGCCGGGGGCGGGCTCCGAGCCTGGTCCCCCGCCTCCACCTCCCTCCCACAGCCTCTGCCCGCGACTCACGGGGTCCTTGAACTGCTCGCTGACCGAGCGGATAACGGGCAGCGTCTCCTCCAGCTTGGAGGCCAGCTGGTCGGCATTCATGTCCCCCAGGCCCAGCATGTTGCACATCTGTGGGCGGTGCGTGGGGCATGAGAGGGTCCCCCGCGTCCGCTTACCTAGGGGGCGCTCCCTAAACCCCCCTGGGATGACTGATACCTCCCAGTGAGCTCAAACCCCAGCGCTCCCATTTCTGTGCCTGCTGTGGCCACCTGGAGCAAGTCCCCCCCACTCTATAGACGCGATGTCCCCGGGTGGGGAGCGCGCACACACTGTGGGGGGTTGTGCCGTGTGTGCGTGCATGTGTGTGTGTGTGTGTGTGTGAGAAGTGTTGTGCTCAAGGGACAGGGGAGGAAGCTGACTGAGGTTAGAGAGGCTGCACAGGGAGCCAGCACGGCAGGTGGCCGGGGGCGGGGCCAACAAGCCCCGCCTCCCCACCTGTCCAACCAGGAAGAAGCAAGCGCTGATGGGCAGGCGGGGACGGTGTGTGTAAGGGAGATGGCTGCGCAGGTGTGGGGTCTGGAGAGCCCACTCCCACCCTCCCCAGCCCCTCCCCAGCCCCTCCCCGCCTGCCTGCGAGATGAAGGGGCTGATCTGGTTTTTGATCTGCATTAGCCGGCCCAGCCCCCGCTCCACGATGGTCGGGAAGTTGAGGAGCCGCAGCGTGTGCCCCGTGGGCGCCGTGTCAAACACCACCACCGAGAAGTTCATGCCCTTCACCAGCCTGAGGGGGCGGGGCGGGGCGGTGAGGGGGCGTGCTGGAACCAGACCCGCCCACCCCCACCTCTGCCCACTCCCCCCACCTCCGCGGACTCCGCCCGCTCCCCCCACCTCCGCAGACCCCCGCCCGCTCCCCCTGCAGCCTGACCTCATGACCTCTGCGTAGCTCATGGCCTCGTCGATGCCCGGGAAGGCGCTCATGGCCTCCTGCATCATTTTCTTGCCCATGCTCAGCATGTTGTCTTCCTCGAAGAACTCGTCCGGCAGCTCTGCCACCCCGAGGCTGGGGTCGATCTCCTGGGGGTGCAGGCGCAGCGATCGGGTCGGCCTCGGGGCCACCCTGACCTACGATCACTCTCCCTTGGGGCCCCAGCCTCACACCTGGCTCCTGGCTGGCCCCTGACCTCTCTCTCTCTTTTTTTTTTTTAGGATTTATTTATTTATTGGAAAGGCAAATCCAGGGAGACAGACAGAGAACTTCCACTAAGCTGGTTCACTCCGAGAACACTGGGGCTGGACCAGGAGGAAGCCGGGAGCCTGGAGCTCCGTCGGGGTCTCCCACGTGGGTGCAGGGGCACCTGCTGCTTTCCCAGGCGCATGGGGGGGGGGCTGGGTCAGAAGCTGAGGTCACAGTCCCTACAAGCCCCCCACACAGGTGCTCCCCCCAGAACTACAGTCCTCCCGGGGGGGGGGCCCACAGGCTGCTCCGTCCTGTTCAAAGCTGCGTCCTTGGGGCCCTGAACCAGCATGGGACATGCAGGGGGACCACAACATGTATCTGGAATTGCCAGGGGAACAATGACACTTCCTGGGTCTCTGTTGGTAGCCTTCCCTCCCACGCTGCCCTTCCTTGATGACGTCACAGGTGCCCCGTGTGAAACCCAGCCCCCCCCCAGCTCAGTGGCCTCAGGGGTCACTCCCCTGCAGGAAGCCTGCCCCCCCTCCAGCTGAGTCATTGCCTCTGACCCCTCTCCTCCACACTCCATTCTCGTCTCAGCCTTCTCTTCTTTGTAAAACCTGTTCATACCCAGCACCCCTCCTGGCTGTCACCTGCATGCAGTCCCCTCCTCCTGGCTCCTCCCCATCAGGAAACCAATGCATGCCAGGGGCCAGACAGTCCCCTCCTGGGGGCAGGCGTCAGGGTGCTGACTGCTTGGGACCCCAGCACCCTGGTATCGGAGTGCCTGGGACCAAGCTTTGGTTTGTCTGTTTCGCAACCCAGCTCTCTGCTATGGCCTGGGAAAGCAGCGGAAGATGGCCCAAGTGCTTGGGCCCCAGCACCCACGTTGAGGGGAGACCTGGAAGAAGCTCCTGGCTTTGGATCAGCTCAGCTCTGGCTGTTGCAGCCATCTGGGGACTGAACCAGCCGGGAGGAAGACTTCTCTGTCTCCATCTCTCTGTAACTCTGCCTCTCAAATAAATTTTTCTTAAAAAAAAGAGAGAGAGAGCTGTTTTATTTCTGTCCCACCCTCATTACAACCATGCTCTCCTTTGAGAACACATCTCAACCATGCCTGACTGTCTCTCAGTAGTCTGCCTCCACACACGTGCAGGCTGCTGCCATTGCTAACCGGGACACACTCCAGCTTTCTCTCTCTCCCCCAATCCAGTCTCCCCACAGCAGGCAGAGGAACTTTCTGAAACATGACTCTGGGCATCTGACGCTGCCCTGAAGATACCTAACAACTCTGCATCAGACCAGGGAGCTGGGGCTGGGAGCGTGGTGCAGCGGGTGGGACGCCTGCATCCCGGGCCACGGTGCCTGGGTTTGGGTCCCAGCTCCATTCATGATTCCAGCTTCCTTGCCAACGTGCACCCTGGCACGCAGCAGGTGACGGATGGGACAAGTATATGGGTCCCTGCCGCTCATGTGGGAGACCCAGATAGAGTTCTGGGCCTGTGGGTTCAGCGTGGCTCACCAAACACGGCTGTTGGGGCCTTTTGGGGCAGGAGAGGGAGTGAAGCAGTGGATGGAAAATCTCTCTTTCCTTCTTGGTCTCTCTGCCTTTCGGAGAAATAAAACAGCCAACCAGAACAACCAAAGCAAGGACAAGCTGCCTGCCGCAGCCTGCAAAGCCCGGCCCTCCCTGCCTCTGGGTAGATCCCAAGTTCTCTTGCTCCCCAAGCCCCACTCAACACTGGCCTCCTTCCTGCTCCCCCAAGGGTCCTCCCTTGCGCCCCGCCCCGTGGTTAAGCCGAGGAAAAGGCGACCACTCACCATGGCAAAGAGGTTGTCATAGCCTTTGACCTTAGTAGGCACCTTGGAGAACTTCTGGTCGAAGGCGTCGGAGATGTTGTGGGCGGGGTCTGTGGAGATGATGAGCACGCTCTCCCGCCCCTTGGACAGCTGGACCGCCAGGCTGCAGCTAGGTAAGGAAAGGTGGTTGGATGGGGAGGAAGGGAGTTGACCTCTGCTCCCTCCCGGGGTCTGCAAGGGGGGAAGCTGTGGGGTCCCAGGAGCAGGGACCCGCACTAAAAGGAGACTTGAGACGTTGGGGCTGGCGCTGTGGCGTAGCGGGTAAAGCTGTCACCTCCTGCAGCACATCCCATATGGGCACGGGTTCGAGCCCCAGCTGCTTCACTTCCCATCCGTTAGTTAGCTTGGGCCCCTGTACCCACACGGGAGACCCAGAAGGAGCTCCTAGCTTCTCATCAGTCCAGCTCTGGCCATTGTGGCCATCTGGGGAATGAACCAGTGGATGGAAGACCTCTCTTTGTCTCTCCCTTTCTCTATTAACTCTTTCAATAAATAAATATTTCAAAACAAACAACAACAATAAAAAGACACGTGTACAGGTCCCTGCAGGGCGGGGGTCTTAGGCTTCGCGTGCTGACTGCTCCAAGTCCAGCCTGGCGCCTGTTCCTTTGCTGGGCACCGGGTGGCACTGGTTCAGCTGCCCGGTCAGCAAGGTTTGCGTCTGTGCCCCCTCTGTCAACTCTAACTCATCTGCTGCTCCAGAGACCCCCTCCCCCCAGCTGACGGGGGCAGTCTGATCATGGGCTTTCTCCTCCTCCTCCTCCCACTCTCACACTCAGCAGGGTTCGCTAGGCCAGGACAGCTAGCCCAGGTGTCCCTCAGCCTACCAGGCAAACCCGGGAACGGTCCAGCTGGTGGGGACCCCGAAGAGCTCCTTCCCCCATCCCCCTCGCTGCCCCGTGCGCCGGGCTCACGGGAGCCCCAGCAGGCATGGTTCAGCTCCGAGGGGCGCCAGGCCCACACTGGGGAGGCAGCTTCGGGAAGGGTAACTGGAAGACCCCCCCCACCCCCCTCGCCGGCCCCGCGTGGAAAGACCAGTGTCTCGGTCTCCCCTTCGCCCGGTGGTACATCCCACCCGCCTCCCCGGCTCCCCGCCGCGGCCTCGCTACCTGCAGGTCGTCTTGCCCACGCCGCCCTTGCCCCCGACGAAGATCCACTTAAGGCTGCGTTGCTCGATGATGTTGCTCAGCGTGGGCTCCAGC